AGAATCACAGTAACTCACAGGCCACCACAGTAGGACAAACTGAGAGATGAGTAATGGGATATACAAAGTAGAACCATAGAAATATAGCTCAATGTGAAGCATGTAAAAATGAAAAAGTTGTGAATCACTGAATATATCTAATACAGAAATTAAACCCAAGGGGACATCATTAAGTTGATATAAAATTCCATTATCTTTTAATTTAATAATTTTATGAATTTTTGGAAGGTCCTTGCCACAAACTTAAAATGAATTGAAGATATATTGACTGAATATATCATTAAAATTATTTCTTGGTACAGAATTTATAAGTTATTACAAATGGATAAAAGAACATACTTAAAAGTAGACAAAGAATATAGGAGTACAGCTATAAGAAGAGAAATCTGGAATTATGATGAATACATTTAAAAATAGTTAACTCACTTGCTTTGAAGGATTAAATAAATAAACACACGCAGAAAGTAAGATTCCATTAATCATCCATTATGCTGTCAGCATTCTTAAAGTCAGGTATCTATTGCGTTAGATAGAATGTGGAATAAAATGAATTTACATACTATTGATGAGGAAGAATGTAAGTTGGTAGAGACATTTGGCAATGCAAACATATAGTAAAATTTAAAAATGCTAATACCATGGATCAAGGAGCTCTGGTAGCGTAGTGGTTACGAATCGGGCTGCGAACCTTAAGATCAGCGGTTCAAAACTACCAGCCGCTCCGCGGGAGAAAGATGAGGCTTTCTACTCCCGTAAGGATTTACACCCTCGGAAACCCTGTACAGGGTCGCTATGGGTTGGAACCGACTCGACGGCACTTAACAACAACAACAATACCATGGATCACTCTTTCAGCCAAGCAATAGAGATGCTTATTCAGTAAACAAAGAACACCTGTGAGGAACATACACCAAAACCATCTACCATAGAAAACCAAAAATGCAGTGTAATTGTTAAGTGCTGTCAAGTTGGTTCCTACTTATAATGACCCTGTGTAAAGTTTCCAAGGAACAGATGGGGGTTTGAACTGTCACCTTGTGGTCCCTAGTTCAGTGCTGATCCTACAGCAACGCTACAAGAGTCCAGAAAGGCAATATTTGCCCCAAATCAAAGTTCAGAAATCAAGAAGGGGCAGGAAAGAAGGAAGACTGGAAATAGGGAACATAGACAGGAAGCAGAAAGAGGATTGCAAACAATGTCACCAAACAAAATTTGCATAAATTGATACATGGATAACTAATTTTCTCTGAAAATGTTCATTAACCTACAACAAGATATTGTTTAAAAGATGTTCATATTTTATGATCCAGTGGTTATAATCCTGGTGAATATACATAGTAGATATACACATTGGAGAAACTCTTACACTGGTACACAAGGAGAATTACACAAGAATATCTATTTATTTGGAGTCCTGGTGTGGCATAGTGGGTTAATGTGCCAGACTGAAAAGCTGGTCGGCAGTTCAAGCTCACCAGCTACTCCTCGGAAACCCTGTACAGGGTTGCTATGGGTCAAAATCAACTCACCGGCACTTAACAACAACAGCAATGTATTTATTTATTGCTGGATTTTCATATTATCAAGAAATTGGAAAAAGGCAATTATTTATTGTCTCAATTATATAAAAATGCTTTAACATAAATACCAGGCAACAGAAGTTTATTTTATCACAGTATAGGAAACTAGAAATCCAAATTCAGGGTGCTGACCTTATAGAAAAGTTTTCTCTCTCAGTTTGCTCTGGGGGAAAGTCCTTGTCTCTTCTAAGCTTTTGCTCCTGGGTAATCTTCATGTTGCTTGCTGAAAGTGAAGAGGACTTGAAACATTTACTTATGAAGATCAAAGAGCACAGCCTTCGATATGGATTACATCTCAATGTCAAGAAAACAAAAATCCTCACCACTGGACCAATAAACAACGTTCTTATCAATGGAGAAAAGATTGAAGTTGTCAAGGACTTCATTCTTCTTGGATCTACTATAAACACTCGCGGAAGCAGCAGTCAAGAGATCAGACGACGTATTGCACTGGGCAAATCTGCTGCACAGGAACTTTTTAAAACGTTGAAGAACAGAGATGTCAGCTTGAGGACTAAGGTGTGTCTGACCCAGGCCATGGTGTTTTCAATAACCTCATATGGATGCAAAAGCTGGACAGTGAATAAGGAAGATTGTAGAAGAATTGATGCCTTTGAGTTGTGGTGTTGGAGGAGAATACTGAAAGTGCCATGGACTTCCAAAAGAACCAATAGATCTGTTTTGGAAGAAGAGCATCCAGAGTGCTCCTTGAAGGCCAAGATGGCCAAGCTTCGTCTCTCATACTTCGGACATATTGTCTGGAGAGAACAGTTTTTGGAGAAGGATGTCATGCTGGGTAAGGTGGAGGGTCAGAGAAAAAGAGGAAGACCCCAACTAGATGGATTGGCCAGGTGGCATCGTTGATGGACTCAAGTGTGGTATCGGTAGTGAGGTTGGCCGAGGATTGGACATTGTTTCGTTCTGCTGTGCATGGGGTCGCTATGAGTCGGTTCCGACTCAATGGCACCTGACAACAACAACAGTCTTCATATAGTTTAGCATCAATCTGCCCCATTTATGCTCTGCTTGTTTGTATAATTTATTTTATGCACTGGACTGCAAAATTGTTTGAACTGCAAGGTCAGCAGTTCAAGTTCACCAGCTGCTCCTCAGAAACCAGAAACTGTATACACAGTCGCTATAAGTTAGAACTGACTTCATGGCACTTAACAACAACAGCAACAATATCTCATAAGAGATTGGCTCAAAAACACCCTACACTAATTCTACCTCATTAGCATAATAAAGATAACCCATACCCAAATGAGATTATAACCACAATTTTTGAGGTTGGGATTATGGTGGGGACATAATTCAATTTATGACATGCATCAAGAGTGGGAGGATAAATATATGCATTGTGAATATTTATTGGAATAAACTCAAACTAGTGTTGAAAATGCTACTGCATGAGTCAGTATGGGTAAATCTGATAATGTTTAATGTGAAATAAAATAAATTTCAGAATGAAACATTGAATAATTCTGCTTAGATTAAGCAAAAAATACACTATAAATATATACACATAAATATCAAGCAAATGGTGTCAACTTACATAGTGTTAAGAAGCAAATTCATAGCAGAATTTGCTTCAAAACAATGGATAAAGAAATAAAATTAGGCAAGGCTCACTCAACTATAACTATGTTGTTGTTAGGTGCCATCAAGTCAGTACTGACTCACTGGTACCCTACATACAACAGTACGAGACACTTCCCAGTTCTGTGTCAACCTCACAATTGATATGCCTAAGGCCATTGGTGCAGCTCCTATGCCATTCCATCTCATTGGTGGTCTTCTTTTTTCTCTCTGACCTTTCTCCTTACCATATATATCCTTCTCCAGGGACTAGCTTCTCCTGGTAATATGTCTGAAATAAGAGAGACTAAGTCTGACCATCCTGGCTTCCAAGGAACTTCTGGTTGTACTTCTTCCAAGAGATTGGTCTATTATTTGGCAGTCCATGGTACTTTTAATATTCTCCTCCAACACAGTAACTCAAATGCATCAATTCTTCTATGGTCTTCCTTATTCACTGTCTACCTTTCATGTACATATTTTTTGCTATTAAGTACCTTCGAGTTGACTCTGTTTAGGATTTCTGAGGAACACCTAGTGGGTGTGAACTGCTGATTTTGCGGTACACAGTCTAGTGCTGATCATACAGCACCACAATGACATTACTGAGAATACCATGGTTTGGGCCAGGTGCACCTGATTCCTTAAATTGACATCTTTGTTCTTCAACAAGTTCTTGTGCAGAAGATTTGCATAATGCACTCTTTGATTTGTTGACAGCTGCCTCCAGGAATGTTGATGGTTGATATGAGCAAAATGAAGTCTTTGACAACTTCAATCTTTTCTCCATTTATATAGGTGTTGTTTATTGGTCCAGTAGTGAGGATTTTTGTTTACTTTGTGTTGATGTGCAACCCATTCCAAAGACTGTGATCTTTGATCTTCATCAGTAAGTATTTTAAGTATTCTATGCTTTCAGCAAGCAAGGTTGTATCATCTACATATCACAGTTGTTAACAAGTCTTCCTCTGATCCTGATATCATAATTTTCTTCATAGAGTACAGTTTCTAGAATTATTTGCTTAGCATACAAACTGAATCAGTATGGTGAAAGAATACAACTCTGGTGCACACCTTTCCTAATTTTAAAGCATTCAGTTTGGACATTACTAAGTAAGCATGATAATGGGATTGTGGGAACTGGGAGAAGAGTCCCTCTGTCTTCTCCTCCTCCACAGGGACCCTGCAGCACCAATCCTTACGAGTACCAACTAACCACCCAATATATTACTGATGGCCAGCATTAATATCACTAGAGTCTACCTCTTCTTCCAGGTGGACTACTTCCCATTGACAGACAGAAATTATCACTGTTGGTGGACAGTCAGTTGGACTCACCTGACACATTGTATCTTGGGCAAAAGGGGGAAAGTGGTGACTCTGTAGGATAAGTATAGGACTGCAAACCAGAGGTCAATGGTTTGTGCCCACCAGATGCTCTGCAGGAGACAGATGAGACTTTCTGACTCCACAAAGATTTATAAAACTTCAGAAACCCTATACTGGGTTGCTATGAGTCCTAACCAACTACAAGATACTAAACAGTAATAAAACCTAATGAAATATTACTGCTCCACAATTAACAGTAATTACTGTCAAGTGTTTTCATACTAATGGTGACCCCATGTGTGTAAGAGTATGAAAGGGTTTTAGGTGGCTGAGTTTTCAAAAGCAGATGGCCAAGCTTTTCTTTAAAAGAAAGACTTGAGCCTCCCACCAATTAGTTTAGCTCAGAGCTAAACCACTGTCCTCAATGACAGAAAGCGATTTTCTATTTACAAATGCCTGTTAATTACACAAATAATAAAGATATAATATGCACCTGTGTCCTAAATGTCTCCCTTATTTAAAAAACAATTTCTTTTGGATAACCTTCCTTATGGCTGCTTTAACATCTTTGTTCCTCAGGCTATAGATCACAGGGTTTAACATAGGACTCACAAAGATATAAAAAACAGCTACAATTTTCCCCTGTTCTACAGATGCTTCAGAAGGGGGCCTCAAATACATGCAGAACAGAGTCCCATAAAAGACAGTGACAGCTGTGAGATGGGACCCACAGGTAGAGAAGGCTTTGCGCCTCCCCTCAGCAGAGCGAATACGCAGGATGGCAGTGAAGATGAAAATATAGGAGATGAGGATAATGGTGAGAGAACAGGTGAGGTTTGATCCAGCTGCCACAAACATAGCAGTTTCTTTGACATAGGTATCTGAGCAGGCAAGGACTAAGAGCGGTGGGTCTGCACAGTAAAAGTGGTTGATCTCATTGGGTCCGCAGAAGGATAGACGTAACATGAGTATGGTCTGTGCAAGACCATTAGCAAAGCCATAGATATAAGGAGCAGCAACCAGAGAGAGACAGACACATCTAGACATATTACTGCCATACAACAAGGGTTTGCAGATGGCCATGTAGCGGTCATAAGCCATCACTGTGAGCATATAATAATCTGTGATCACCAGGGCAATAAAAAAATGGAACTGTATAAAGCAACCAATGAAAGAAATGGTTTTTCTCTTGGATAAGAAGTTGACCAGCATCTGCGGAGTGACATTGGTGGCATAACAGAGATCTACAAAGGACAGGTGACTGAGGAAAAAGTACATTGGTGTGTGCAATTTTGAGTCACTTCTGATTAGAACAATCATGCTCACATTGCCAATTACTGTGATAAGGTAGATCACTAGGAATACTGCAAACAGGATGGGCTGCAGCTCAGCTCGATCGGTCAGCCCCAGGAGAATAAATTCAGTTACCTCAGTGTAGTTTTTCTTTAACATTGTGTTTCCTTGACTTCTAATGAGGTCTAAAGAAAATGACATAAAAATGCTCTTTGTTTCTGTCATTTATCAATCACCCCCAACATAGAATGTGATTTATTGCTCTCAAAATTATATATACAGATTTGTCATAAAATATAACATAATGTGATTTATATTCAAGCATTTATATTAATATAATTATCCATGTTGTTGTCATTAAGTGCCTTTGAGTCAGTTCCAACTCAAAAAGACCATGTATAGGGATGCTGAGTAGTGACTGACAGATTTGAACGGCTTAATTTTAGCATTCTAGTTCCTCTAGTGCCAAAACAGAACTCTTTAATGTTCTCTTTCTCTCTCTATCATTCTTTCTCTCATTACATATGTGTGTGTGTAAAATATTGCTGTTGTTGTTGCTAATTGCTGTCAAGTAGGTTCCGACCCATAGTGACACTGTATAGGGTTTCCAATGAGTGGTTGGTGGGTGTGAATGGCCAGATCATGCTGTTCAAACCTACCTTGTGGCCCAGCATGTATTATCTTGCAGTGTTACACCATGACTCCACTGTTGTGGTTCTTAAGTGCTGTGGAATTTGTTCTGACCCATAGCTACTTTGTATAGAGGAATGGCTGCTGAGCCTGACCCTCAGACCTTACTGTTCAAACCAACTTTGCAGCCCAGCATATTAAATCCCAGCACCACACCAAGACTCCAGGGCTCCAATACATGTGCATAACCTCATATGCATGTGAAAGCTGGGCAGTGAATAAGAAAAAACGTAGAAGAATTGATGCTTTTGAGTTATGGCGTTGGAGGAGAATATTGAAAATGCCATGGGCTGCCAAAAAACCCCAATAAATCCATTTTGGAAGAAGTGCAGCTGGAATTCTCCTTGGAAGCCAAGATGGCCAAACTTCCTCTCTCATACTTTGGACGTATTGTCAGGAAGGACCATTCACTGGAGAAGGATATCATGTTTGGTAAGGTGGAGGGTCAGAGAAAAAGAAGAAGACCCCCCAACAAGATGGATTGGCCAAGTGGCAACATCGATGGACTCAAGTGTGGCAACAGTAGTGAGGTTGGCCCAAGATAGGGCAGTGTTTCATTCTGCTGTGCATAAGGTCGCTATGGGTCACTACCAACTCGATGGCACCTAACAACAACAACAACAACAACAACAACTGCTGCTGCTAGGTACAGTTGAGTTGGTTCTGACTCATAGCAACCCAGTATAGGGCTTCAAAAAGCAGCTGGTGAATTTGAACTGCCAACCTTGAGGTTCAAATCAATCTTTTGGTTCAGTGCTTATCCTACAATGCTTCACCAGGACTCTGTGTGTGTATTATATATACATATGTTGTTGCTAGGCATCATCAAGTTGCTACTGACTCCTAGCAATCCTATGCACAATGGGATGAAACACTGCCCCATCCTACGCCAACCTCATAATCATTGTTACATTTGAGTCCACTGCTGCTTCCACTGTACCAATCCATCAATCCAGGGGTCTTCCTCTGGATTGATGGATTGGTACATATA